TTTTTAGGGCAAAAATACCCTTTTTATTATTTCTTCTCTCCTAAGTTAATTCGTATACATATGTAAACACGTGTATGTGTGTGTGTGTGTGTATCAATAACATTCTCTTGATTATAATTTCTTTTTCTTTTTTCTTTTTAAATTGTTTGCTGGCAATGGATTCTTTTCTTTCTTTCTCTTTTTAATTGTCTTTTAGCTATGTACGAAGTGTGTATATAATTATATATATATATACACTATACATGGATTCATAATAAAGATAAGATGGTATATATATATATATATATATATATATATATATATATACAAAAAAAGAAAGTAGTTGTTTGTATATATAGATACCCAATCTATATATACACGTAGGTGTATCAGTGTGAGGGGGGAGAGAAAGAGAGAGAGAGACAAAAAAAAAAAAAAAAAAAAAAATGAAGAAAAGAATTTAGGTGTTTATGTGTGTGTGTGTGTGTGTGTGTGTACGCCATCCAAGTGAGGGGAGAGAAAAAAGTGTTAAAAGGGCACTTTTGTCTTAAAAAATTATATTTTTAATGTCCTATATGGTAGGAGACATTTAATTAATTAACATGTAATTTTAAGAATCCTAACTAATTAAGAGCGCGACTGTGCAAGCAAGCGACTGCCATTAGCACTCCTCTAAACAACATAGCAATTATCAGAAGTTCTAGTTCCTTTCAAAACACATTCACCATTTTCATTAGTTACAAAACAACCATGTTGAGTAAAATTGACTTGAAACTCTTCATCACATATTTGACTAATACTCAACAGATTCATAGCTAAACCTTCAACAAATAGAACATTTTTTAGTTCTCCGATGCCTTGAAATTTGATCTCACCATTACCACTTACTCTAGAAGCATTACCATCACCAAAAGTGACCGATCCACCTTAACATTCCTTAAAAGTGGTAAACAATGTTTTATCTTCTGTCATATGCCTAGAGCAACCACTATCAAAGTACCAACCAAATGGACCAAGTGTTTTAAGTGTAGTGTGTGTGGCAAAACACTTAACACTCTCTTTCTTTACGCAAACAATTTTAGATTTACTATGCAATGATTTTCCTATTGTTTTAGGCAAAGTGTAACAAGGCTCATAAGACTTTTTCTTCTTGTTCTTTCTCTTCTTCTTAGCTCTACGAGTCTCATGAACAAAACTAAAGCAAAATAATATATGCAATTTTTCTTTCAATTCACATTGCTTTACTTCAATTTCATTCAACTCATTTAGCAAAGATTTTGAACTTTCTAAATTTTTCTTCTTCTTCCCAAGTTCAATTTTTACACTTATACTTGATGTGACATTTTTCTCCACAAAAATGACACGTTGGAACGAGTTTGGGAGGACTAGTGATAACACTAGGTTTGGTTTCTACTTCCATAAAAACTTTTCATTTTTTAAAATATGAATCCTTTGAAGTTGAAACCAATTCCTTATTACTATTGACATTCTTAATAACTCCTTTCAACTTATCAAATTTGCAAGTGTCCGTGTCAAACTTCTAAAAGGATTGATTGGATTTAACAAGATTACTACTCAAATTATCAAGTTTAAGTTCAAGTGATTTATTATACCCTTTACCATGATCAAGTTCTTTTTCCAAAAAATTAACCTTTTGAAGAAGATTCAATTTTTTATGACCAAGTTCTTCCAAATTTTTATTTGTGACAAAAATTTCTAACTTACAAAAATATCTCTATCAAATTCCGTAAGTTTCAATTTCTCCAACAAATTTTCAAAATCCATTTTAAACTTAGACCACTCGTCATGCATGCTTGTGACAGAATTAAAAACAAAAGATAAAGCAAGAATATCAACAAAAGATGCAATATTCGAGATGATGCCAAAAATCACAACAAATCAACAAGTATGATCTACTCAGTATGTCGAGTAACCTGCTCTGATACCAAATGGGAGTTACGCGGTGCAGAAGTTATTAGTTGATTAAGCCGTGATTAATACTCTAAATGATCTAGAGGTGGGTGAATAAGTCAACTTGTCCAATTTTTGTGATTTAATAAATTTCACATAGTTATGATCAATTAAACATCCACAATCACAAAAATAATAAAAACAAGTAAAGTAGAGTTTGAAAGATGACAACGGATTTTTAGTGAGGAAACCTCTATTGGCAGAAGAGACCAATCATTGTGGGAAAAACCTCGCGGACTATGTCTAGATCAACTTTGACTCAAGCTCACACCTTTTCACTCTACCAAAAACCAATTGTTGAGGATCCCTGCTTTGCAACTCCCCGATTCAGCAGTTCTCGATCTCAGGCTTACTCTTGATCAAGGGCGTATCTAGGGGATGGACTGGGCGGGCTTGAGCCCATCCCAAAAAAATATATAAAAAATAATATAAAATTTACTATAGTCAATTTTAGCCCAGTCCAAAAAAAAAAAAAAAATTAATAATAATAATAATAATAATAGCCCACCCAAAAAAATATTAGCATTGACAATTCACAAGCGTTTGAATCAAGATCCACCTTTGCTCTTGATCTCTGTAGAAGGATCGCTGGTAGATCAACTAACGCTCCACAAGCGTTTTGATCCCTTCAAAGTGTAATCTTCTTCTCGTTCTCTGCAAGAACAAATTTTTTGAAGTTGGTAGGAAATTCTGCTTCTTTGATTAACTTGTAATCTAATGTAGACTTTGAAGATTCCGTGTTGAGCACTAGAAGAACATTACCCTAATCACTCTCATGTTTTAAGTGTGTGCTCTCAAAAATAGATAAATCGAATTTTTCTAAAAAATCTCTCAAAAAGCACCAATAATGAGTAAAAGATGAAAACGTTGATTTTAATTGAAGCCACTAACATCTCTCACTGGGGTTTTAGAAAGATTATATATATATATATATAGCCGTAAGTCCTTACAATAAGTGAAAAAGCCTTTTAAAAGCGTGCAATGAACTGACCTACAAGTTTGGGTACAAACAGGAAATTGAAAAGTTACCAAAATTTGATTTTTCTCACCTCCAGGTAACTACAACCGGTTGGACTTGATAGAGCAACCGGATGGATTTTGGCTAATACGTGATTTTCGTTAGAAAGTACAACTGGTTGGACTTGATGCTGCACCCGGTTAGATTTTGGCTAAGAGCTATTTTTGCTCAGAAAATGCAACCGGTTTGACCATGAAGTGCAACCGGTTAGACTTTCTTGAATGGCAATTCCAACCTAAGCTCTCATACCCATCCTTAAAAATATTCAACGTGTTCCTCACGCACTTACATGTACTACATGATGTTCAACAGATGCAACAGTAAGAAACACTTGTTCTTCAGCTCCAAAAGACCGAGACTCGTGATAAACAAAGATTACAACTCGATCATTTAGTTTTGACTCTGAAATTCGCCAATATTTTACATTGATAGTTGAAGAAATCAGCTCTAAACTATGAGAGTTTTATTTACTGCCTTAACTAAGAGAGATTAATTTTTGTGACTGGCTTAGATTCCTTATTTATCAAAACTAATCCAGTACACAAGGCTCCAAGTACTGTGTCTTTTCCTTCAACCTAATGTACTCTAAGGCGGTACGCAAGAATGAAAAAGAATGGGTGAAAAAAAAAAAAAAAATTGAAATAGAATGGGAATGGAATGAAGTTTGGAATAGTCATTTTTATTCTATTATGTAGGAATGAAATAATAATCACTATTAGAAGTGGTGGTTGTGAAAGGCGATACGGTGGCGGCGGTGGTGGAAGGTGGTGAAGGCGGCGGCAGGCGGTGGTGGTGGTAGAAGACTGTGTCGGTGACCTCGGTAGAAGGCGGTAGTTATAGTGGTGGAAGGCGATGACAGTGGTGGTGGCCAAGCATTTCATTCGTTGGAATACATATTCATTCCATTGGTTTGGATATAGAATGAAATGCTTAGAATGGAATGGTCAAGTCATTCCATTATTGCATGCCAAACTAGGCCTAAATGGTCATATGGTGAACGAACATTTAGGAATAATTCTTCATATGGTGATAGGGATGTCAATTTTTACCGCCCCGCCCCGTTCCGCCCCGTTAATAACGGATATAGGAACACTTATTATACCGTTGGGACGGACATGGATACAAATTTTGTACCCGTCGAGGGTCACGGGGCGGGTAAGGATTCAATATACATATCCTATATGTAAATATATATTAATAAGTTATTTTAGCGGCTTACCCAACCCATCTCTTACAATCCTAATTTGGGATGTAAACTTAGTATTAAATTTGCTTTTGTTTTGGTTATGGTGGAAGTTGGAGCTTAGAATTTCTTGTGATTTGGTTGTATTAAATTTTTATTTTTGTTTATTATGTTCTTTGAATTATGTTATGTGCATGTTATTTTTTTTATTTTTGTTAGAATACATAATTTTATTTATGTTGTGTCATTCCTAAGCTTTGCACATTTAAATAACAGGAGTTTAAGTTCCAAAAAGTGGGAGAAAAAAATTTGTTAGTGGGGCGGGCACGGGGGCACAGTATTTCCTAACGGGGCGGAGTTGGATATGAAAATTCAACCCGTCGCGGGTCTCAGGGCGGGCATGAACTTGACAAAAATTAAAAAGGGCGGGGCGGGATTTAGGGAAACCCGCTCCGTTGCCATCCCTATATGGTGAGAGTTGAAAGCTACTCCAAGTGCCTATATTTTGGAGTTTTGCTTGGTATTCGGCTATGCAACATATTTTAGTTGACGACACATCTGTTAGATGACGATGGAAAAAGATGGTCTGAAGTCTAAACGACTTTACCATTACTATTGTACTAAAGGATCTCGCCTGTGAGTCCTACTGATTCAACGATTGTGATTTTATTAGACGCATACCGATTGCACCACATGGATTCAGCCTTTCCGAAGTAACCAAAAAAACAGGCTTCATTCTTTCAACAGGCCAGAAGTCTTTTTTTTTAATAAAAAAAAATAAAAATAAAAAAAAATGGTCCAAAATGCATTCCCACAGATTTCACTCATAAGAACCAATGAATCCAAATATCACTTAAATCCCAAAATAGCATTACCTAGAGAACTCTTGATACTGCAATCTCTGTCTCGTCTTTAAAACCGAAAAAACAAACAAACAACTAATAACCATAACAAGAGTTTGTTCTAACAAAGGAGATGACAGAGCAAGAGGCAGAAAAGGTGTGTTCACATCCCCTGCTGCTTGCGCATATCATCAGCTCCGTGCGCAAAGTGGCACCTTTCCCCAAAGGTACAGGACCCTTTCGTGAAATTCTCACAAAGTTTTGTCTTGAAATTGCTCGCAGGAGCATAGCCTCCTGACATTGCAGGGTTATTCTTTGCAGGAGGTGCTGAGGCTGAACCAACGTTCATTATTAGTTCACGAACCATTGCACTAGCTTGCTTGATCTGATCAAATGTACCCTCAAGCTCAATGTTCCTCTGGTTAGGATCTGATTCATGCTCTCTTATGGAAAGCTTCGCCCCAGTCACACGACAAATCTGTTTCGAGTTCACACCACCTTTTCCAATGATAGCTCCAGCAAGCGAAGCATCAACACTGATCTTGGCTGTGGCAGAGGACCCAAAGCTGGCTGCAGCTCCTTGCGGTGGTGGTGGCTCCATCCGGCCACCCATCCTGCTTGGCATTGGTCCCATGGAACGAGGATCTTCATGGGATGGAACTGTTGGCCTGCCAAGCTCCCACTCGCCATGGGCAAAATGGCATTTGTCACCGAACTTGCAGCCTTCAGCTGTGTTGTATTTGTTGCACAAACGGGTTTTGACAGCTGGAGGAGATGAACCATCTGGAAAAGATGGCTGGACCACCGGATTCCTGGCAGCTGGTGGAAGAGCTGGATTGCTGCCGATCATCTGAGACACAGCTTTAATGCCACCAGGAACATAATGCAAGAAATGGCATCCCTCACCAAATGGGCACCCAGAAGTGCTGCATGACGATTGAAAATGAACATGTCAGAGCTAAACACAAGTAAAAATAAAATGATGCTGCAACTACTGATCGATACTCATGGGAATGATGCCACCACCACTGACAACATATATATTGGTAGCATGGGATATTAAGCATCTTTAATGAGAGATTTGGAACCTCTAATGTAGAATACAAAACCAAGTATAAAATCATCCAACAATAGAAGCAAGATTAACAAATAATATTGTTGTCTTCAAGAGAACATCCTCCACACTAGCGAAAACAACAATTTGGGATGGCACTGCATTATTCATAACAGAACTAAGGAAGTAATTGTGTTGTTGCTAAATTAAAAAGTAAAATCAAACAGATCATCCTAACTCAACAAGTCAGAAAAAAAGTGACCACTTGACTAATAATTTGTTTGGGAGACTACCCTACATTAAAAGTCACAATGTGTTTTTGTTTATCTAAACCTTCATTGAGGTTTTATCAATTCCATCAAATTACATACATTAACAAATTCTCTAGCTACACTACTAAAGACATGTATAAAAATGCTCAAGACAGACAAAAATAAAGAATCAACAACCATGGAGCCCTAAACTAATGGGTAAAAGTTGAAGCACATCTTATAATAGAAAAAATACACCATCTAGCTAGCTCTTCAGAACTCAACAATTACAGATTACTTTTCGGCCATGAGAAAATTAACCTAGATACAAAGGACTACATGGATCAATTTATAACAACAAACAAAACTCCATTTTCCAAAGCTTATGAACAACTAGAACATTTTCTCATATAAATAGAATCTCTTGAACATAAATTGCGAATTCAGAACCTCAAGAAATATTGCAAATTCAGAACCATATGCAATATAATTAAGAAAGCTCTCATCTAACTTTTCCACTATCACCCCAAAAAACCAAACTCTATATTGCTGAAAGTTGCCAGACTACGACCAACCCCTGGATTTGAAACCACAAATTATATAACTGGTATTGAACATAAGGAAGATTTGCAGTTTACGAAGTGGGTTAACCGAACCAAGTGTAATATATCCCATTGTTTGAAGAACCACAGATGCTGTCAAAGTAAACACTAATCAATCAACAAGGGTGATCTACTTATTGCAGATTCCTGTCCAATACTTGTCTCATTTAGTGATGCCATGTGAATTGCTAGAAATATGTGAAGTGTATGGCTAACCCAAATAGTGGAAGTTCCATAAAGAGACTGGACCAGGTTACCATGAGTTGTAAAAACTCTTGTTTCTGAAAAAAAAATCAATTCAAAAATTCAGATGTATTCCTCAATTTTCTATGTCCCAACAAACAATTTAGAATACTTTGCCTTGTTTAACACATATCCGGCAAAAGACCAACAATTTAAGCACTTCTTTTTAATCTATTTTGGACAACCAAAGACTCCACCATATGGATTTTTTATTTTTATTTTTTTAAAAAAAATTGTAATTTAAAAAAATTTGTAATTATCATTGAAAGAGCACTCAAAAGGGAAGCGCATCCCAAAACAACACAAAGAAAAGCTATACCCTTGGACTATCCACAAAACCTACTATAGATTTACAATTTTTCCAATGAACTCAATAAAATAAAGAATTTAAGATGTAGAATTCAACCCCCAAATCTCCATCATTGAATATTAAAAAAAAATCTCCAGCACCTAGCAGAACAAGGGAAATTGATACTCAATTAAAATGAATAAGAAGAATTCTAAACTCAATCCCATCAATCCATATTGAACCCACCACATTCAATGAAAGTCGGATGCATGGCATGGAGGGAGATTTCATATTTTTCACCGTCTAATATTCTTCCAAATTGAAAAGAATTACTCATGTTTAGACAATCACATTGGCAAAACCAAGGTACAAACAAGCTGAATAGTTTACCAAAACAAATCAGTTTCTGAAGTCATTATGATTAGTTAGCGTTGTTTAACTATTAATTTTGGCAAAACCAAGCAATTCGATCTTTGTACATATTATGGAAGGAAGACCTTTTTGATCCGTAGTGGTATTTGTTTGGTTGCATAGAAATGAAAGGGAAAGGGGGAATGCTTGGTTGATAAGAAATGCAAGGATATTTGGGTAAAAAAAAAAAACTGGGATGGAAATGAAATTAAGATTCTTGGTCGTTTTTTTCTTTAGATTTTTATTTATTTTGGAGAGAAAAACCAGAAAACTCCTGAAGAAGAGAAGTTGATTATCACCCTTCATGCCGCTGTAGGCAACAGGTTAACTAACTATCTCTATCTCCTTTTTTATGTTGCTTATTAATTGATTGCACCCAAATTTTTTTTTTTTGGATGGTGGGGTAATGAGATATTTATATTTATATATATAGCAATAAATATATATGTTACTTACTTGGGTTGTTGAAGTGACCATTGATTCAATCTCCAAGTAATCCAAGCATGGTGCAAGGAAAGAGTAAGGAGAAGAGAATCTCTAAGTAGGTCAATGTAAATCTGCCCTTAGGTGATGCAAGTAACAAATCTAAGAAGGTTACTTAGTAGCTCTGTAGATTCAAAAAACTACAATCACATAATAGTTTAATACCCCGTACAAAATATACCCTTAGGATCACTAAGCTTAAATTTAAGGCCAATAAAACTGGCCAAGAAAACTGTTGTTCAATAAAGCTGAAAATTAAGCTCTGAATTTTAAGTGCTAATTACATATGGAGAGCTTTTATAATTGTTCAAGTGCTCAGTGATAAGTGAAGTCCCCACGCTTAAAATTTTACATCATCTTTAACAGAACTTATTCTTTCAAGTGGCATTCAAATTGTGTTTGAACACAATCAAATAAGCACTTAATTTATTCATAATTAAGTACTGAGTTGAGTTGCCAAACAACATTTAAGAGAAAAGTCAACGATAATAAATAAATGATAAGAACTGAATTGTGTTATCAAACAACATTAAAGAGAAAAACAATAATTAATAAAAAAGATAAATAACCCCCCTTTTAATTCCCCTTTTTTTCCCTGAATGTAAATGTAATTCTCTTCATTAGACAATTTTGATATCATTTAACTAATTGCTATAAGTTGGTTGAGATCAGCAAAATATCATGAAGCAACAATATCAAATTAATACTTAGTTATCTTGAAATTTGCACCAATCAAAGAAAAATCATCTGAAACATCCAATCAAATTAAGGGAAATCACATTACAAAAATACAGCCCAAGAATCATACATCTATTGATTTTTTGGGTTCGGTGGGTCCTTAGGACCTTGTCTCTGGCTTCGGACTTTGTATAGCTTTCGGGATGTGTTCCCCTTTTGAACGCTTTCTAATACAATCTTTCTTATCAAAAAATAAATAAAAAAATAAAAACCATTAACATTGGAAGTTGTCCTCTCAACTTGACGCCTGTCACATGAATGCTACTGTGTTCTAATTCCATATCAAGGACCACATCTATTGAGTCATAACCCATTATTGCATTTCCCAATGAATCAATTACCGCATTCCTCTTTTCATAGAGACTTCAACTGGAGCTATATTACTCCTAACCACAATCATAACCAATCTTTATTACCCATGACTTAACTAGCACTCAGAAGGTGCTCCTTATTCTTGGTGAAGATTTAATCCTTTGTTTATATCATCCTAATTCCTATCTAATTTGCCTTCCCTATGCATTAATGTCCTGATTCCAGCTATGACCTTTTTTTTATTTGATAGGTAATTCCAACAATTTCCTTTTTATAGATATTCACTAGACTACCACGCATTTATGAAACATGGCAATTCTCTTTATTCTATTAAGTAATGCACACAAACCAATGTTCCAACAGTACCCTTGCAACTCCCCTTATGCGGTGACAGGAAACACTACTCAACAGGTGAAAAGCCAATGATTAAAAGGTTGAAGTTCTGTTTAACATCTTATGAAGTTCTTACATTCTGTACTTCCCAAAAACAGAAACTAATAAAATGTTCTTCCAGTTGCATACTGCATAAATCAGAACCACTTGTCCAACATATATGTCCACCTTACAATTTATGAATATATCAGAAGCAAATATTTACTACATATGTCAGCCTCAAGTTTGTGGATAAAGTTCTCTTTATTTTTTATTATAAGTAAATAGGTCCGCTTTATTTTACCTCCAAGTAAATCATAAACAATCAAATCTATCACTTTTTCTATGTTCCTTTGCCATCAATTTCCAATATTCCCTAGTTTCTAGTCGCAGAAAACCTTAATTAAAAATAAATCAATTTGATTCTACAGCATCTCCTTATACCAGTAATCATGTAATCAATACTTGCTATATTGTTGATGATAAAAATGTCCAACAAACAGCAGAACAAAACTACCTCTCCCAAAATATGTTCAAATAAGTGAACCAATCCCAATGCAATAGGTCACATGCTCATTACCAACAACAGCGGAAAAAAATTACCCCTCCCAAAATATGTTCAAATGAAGGACCCAATCCCAATGCAATAGGTCACATACTCATTACCAACCCTTGACATAATTCTACTTATATCTCCTTATTTTTTCAAGAAAAAGTGTCCACACTAACATTCATATCTGGCAAACAACTTATATTAACTCTCATTTCATGATACCCACAAAACATCTCCAGACATCAGAGAGCCCCTCAAATGCTCTATTGATGGTCAACAATAACCCAAATATTTCTCTTTTACTATTTAAACCTATGCATCAGCCACCTCATTAGAAAACTTATGATGACTTCCATAACATCAACACGAACACTTTCCGCTACTCTTGTTCAACAACTTTGTCAAATAACTCTCATATTCTATAGAATAATTTTTTTTTTTTTTTTTTTTTTTGATAAGTAATAATTCATTAAAAGCGTTCAAAAGGGGGACACATCCCTCAAAAACAACACAAGCCCAAATAGGGCCCCTAAACCCAAATCCAAATACTCTACAAGCTCATCCAAGGATTTACAATTTCTCCCTAGGACCCAACAAAAGAGTGCTAAGAGTGGAGAACTTTAACGACCCAATATGATTTTCCTTTCCTTCAAATAAAAAACTAGGATATACTTTCTCCAACTATCTACCTTTCATAGCATTAACAGTCCAGTTGGACAAGTCACTCAACTAAATAACCAACCCTCACCAAAACACTTCATAGCCTCAAATCGCATAACCTTAAATGCAGGAACAATTCCTATGTAAAATTTAAGAAGAGAGCAAAACGGTTAAAAATTACAACAAAAAAATAAATATTCCACACATACTGCAAGAAAACAAATAAGTGTACCAATTAGTATAGTAAACTCATTATCACACACACACATATATATATATATCTATATGCATGTATTTTTTTCTAATACAGTAAATTTGAGGGGGGAAAATTAATGATTAATGAAGTTCAACAATAAATATTTTAACCAACAATTTATTACAACAATAGGGCAACAGTAATTTAAGAAAATCATAACAAAACCAAAATAATGATAGTAATAATAACAAGACACCAAGGAAAACACATTTGACCAAACAGTAATTCTTCAACACACGGAGCTAGGAGAACCATAACCAATCAGCTATCAACTCATTAGACTAGAAAAACTTCTTAAGCTACTCACCAATTTTAGAAAATAAGGATATTTTAGGTAAAAAAATTAAGATTTCCAAATGACAATCCATACAATAGGCAGTGAACATGTCCTCTTTATGTCACTTGAACACTTGAACATGTCATGTAACACCACAGATATAACATGACAAGGGCAAGAGCGTGAGAACCAACTAAACAAATATGCTAGGAGGCAGGACTTGGGATATATATTCCAAGTTCACTATAAGTTCACCAAAACTTCTTAATAAACTTTTTGTTGCATGGATTTTCTTCAAAAGAAAGATTAAAAGGCAATGTCAAACACCTAATGATATACACTTCATTTTGCCCTTGTATATAGTTCAGGAAATCTTTAACTATAATATGATTCAGTTGCATCTATATGAACTAGAGGCCTCAGCCACATTTGACAAGCGTTCACAAACTTGCACCCCGCATAAGTCCACGTAACAACTAACATAGACCCTGTTATTGGCGGTGAACAGAAAAAAATGTGAAGTTGGGTTTACTGTCACAAAGAACTTGATGTATAGAATCAATAAAAGTGTCAAACATATAAATCACGATGGCAAACACAATCGAAGGCATGCATCACACACAAACCTATGGGTCTTAAAGTCCATACAGTCGGATGGTTGGCCATATCGCATGTCACAAACAAATGGACAATTCATTATGAAATTACACTTCATCGTATAAGTTAAAATGTGAAACTGCTAGAGTATAACTAGAAGGACTGCTGACAATCCAAGATAAGAAATTATCAGAGTACATAAATATTACAACCATAATACAATAGTTCATGTGAAAATTTAAAAATACATCTATTTATTTTAGAAAATTCATTCATTCAGCTCATATACTCTACCCTTGCATTTAGAAAATAATATATTTTTAATGTGAAATTCAGAAAAATTAGGTACATTTAGCCCTAACCATCAAGAAATAAAATTTATCACGGCACTATTTAAAATGACATCTAGCATAATATAATACAGGTGTGCACCCAAAACAATTTATTGCAATTGGGTAAACCAAAAGCTCTATAGGTTGAAAAAAGTGCAAAGGTACGATATTCTGAACATTATATTCAGGAGCAGATTTGTATTCCACTCAATAGTTTCCAATTTATAAATATAGCCCAGCCGGTTCTAAATCAAACTGAATGCTTACGAATCAACCAATTCTGTTCGATAGACAACTTGATTATGAAAACAAGGAAAACCTGTAAATCAAACTTCCAGATCAATTGCCTTTAGTTGCAGGAATTCTTGAATGGTTTACATATAATCATTATTCGGGGATATTTTTGCATCTCACCAACTGCTTTTGAATTACATTTAGTGCAGCAAGTGACCATCCAACAGTACATTCATGTATCAACCATTTCTGTTCAATAGTCCTTGTTATCATGATTAAAGAAAGAGTATGCCCTGTATCACAACTTTAGATGCCAAATTCATTAGTCCAGATCAAACTTCTCTTTTACTCGCAATGATTGTATAATAGAATTTTCCTTACAATTTGTAAACATTAGCAATAGATAAAAATTGCATTTAAATATTTATTTTAGATAGGTTAGAATTTGAACCTGAAAAACTTTGTGCATGGCTTCGATTTGCTTCCTATACCAGTTGGAAACTCCGATTCTGTTGCAGAACATTAACTATTTTTCTCAGTTAAATTTCAGTGAGTTATTAATCTTTAAACTTTGCAGAATATCTAAGAGCCAAATTACCACTTGGTATCACTAGTAATGAAATTCTGCTTTATTACAGATAACATTATATGTATATATACATACATTTAGTTAAAACAACTTAGAAACTACCAATTCAATTAAGCCTACTCAGTGTCGCATGCTTAGGAGGCCACCATACTTCCTCGCATAAAATTATTGACTCTAAAGATATAGTAATATGGAGAATATCTGTTTATAATTTTATATAGAAAATAGTCACACAAAAATATATATATTGGGAATTTTTTTACGGCTGCATTATCTGACTTACACCATGAAGCTTGTTTAAATAATTTTCAATTACTTTGGGGAAAACATCTTTACAAAATATATATATATATATATCTTGGAAGACATTTTCCCAGCAAAAATTTCCACTTGAAACAAATGGAGTCCAAAAAAAATTCAGATAAAGTAAAACAAACAAATTAAAAAATAAAAATAAGAATCTATTTCTTTTCCTCAGTTTTCTTGGCAAATGCGCAGATTATTCTTATATATTATATTTTCACACCTACAGATGCACAAAGCACACAAACATGCAGAAATCTTGAAACAATAAGAATGTGGGGGAATTTGGGGAAAGCTTCAGCCATTAATGAGAGCTGATCTTTCGTGGTGAATTATCCATTCTCCATTCAATCAAAAATATTCCTCATCAAATTATGAAAATAGAAGTAAGCACACATAGACCAAAACCCACTTTAACAGCCTAGGAAGAGGATACTATCAAAGATCATAAATGAAAGTATGAAGAAACAGTAACCAACTAAACACGAGAGTTCCAGACCTTAAGATTTTGGTCAACATAAACAGAGCACGCTAAAGAAAACAAAAAATGCAAATGCTCGGATACAAGACATACAAGGAGCGAGGGACAGCTGATGACAGCGAGAGAAGGGTCACTAGCATTAGCTAAACAAGGACCCAACAATAAAGAACAGTAATCAAATGCTACAACAATCTATAAGAAACAGGATCAGGTATACGCTTGGACCAAATAAAGAACCCAATAACTTCACCTTATACCTGACAAACCCCAATAACTAGAACAACCACAAACCCTAACTCAAACATTACAACAAACCCGAATAACTATACAAACACAACAACCCTAAACCCTTAACTCAAACACTACAAAATCTACAGAATAGTCTAAAAATATGTATCAAGCAACTACCTGAGATCCCACATAGTAAAATATTGATATATGTGACTTCGTGCATATATATATATATACACACCTATATATCTCTCCACAACAACAAAAATTGAATATTGAGCATTTTTTTCAGTACAGATATAAGAGTATAACATAGAACAAGAAACCCCTAGATTCAAAGGATAAGGAGGTGAAAAATCAAAAACAAAACCAAGAATGTGAAAACGAACCTTGTTTGGATTTCTTGAAACCACCATTGCCATTCAAGGCAGCTTCATGCCTCCCTCTCTTTCGAGCAACTCCGAACTCCATTTCAAGCTATTAAAGATCGAGACCGAAAGAAATCTAATCTAGAGAGAGAAACTAAATCGAACAAGAGAAATACAAAAAATTGTATAGTAGAGAAAGATTTAAGAGAAAAAAAAAAGGTGGGGAAGATGGATAAAACCCTAGACAGAGAAGATAACCAGAGAGAGAGTAGGGTTCGCAGTACCACCAAAAAGAATGGAGAGAGAAGAAAGAAAACGAGCGAGTGTATAGGGAGAAAATAAGCGCGGACTTGAAGATTAGGTTTAAATGGAGTTGATAATGTGTGAACTACTTTTCACGTGCTGTGCGAGTGATGTTAGCAGTAATTTCTGTGAAGGACAGAGGCTGATGCGAGTCGGATCTAGAGATATTAAGGACAAGTGCACTACATAATGGACCGCTTTGGGCCACGATTAAAAAGCCCAATATAATTGACACTGTTGGGCCCAAAACATGAATAGGGTAGAAGTATTAAGCCCATTTTACACAAATTTTAATTCAAATCAAGTTTGACAACTGTTTTTATTTCGTGTTTTTGCTTCGACTCGAAACAAAAGTAATATTTCTGTTTTAGAGTTTGTTTAACACTATTTCGAAACTTGTTTGGTAAAGTAAATTTGTTGCAAGATTTTTGAAAATAAAAACATTAAAGCTCGTTTAGTAAAAAGTGTTGTAAATTTGAAAAATTGAATGATTAGCTAAAAATGTTATTTTAGAAAAAAAAATAAAAATAAATAAATAAATAAATTAGCAGTGCTTTGCTACATTGTAAAAGGAGTCAAAAATATCATTTTTATATTTCTAAATTTGACTCTTTTTCAGAAACACTACAATGCTATTCAAATGACAGCAATCTCTGTACTTTAATTTTTTTTTTAGTACTGGCTTACCTGTACTTTTGTTTCAAAATGGTTAACTGTGATAGGTTTTTAGCTCATGTAAGCGTGTACCGGCACATTTCCTGTCCAAAACTATGAGTTGTAATTATTGCTTTTGAGAAATTTTTTTCTCTTTCTTTTTTTAAAAAAGCCTTCAAATTTAATGTGACTGAAGGTTATAGGGGTCAGCATACCTTGTAAGAGGCAAATTTAAAAAATGGTTTTAGGATACTTTTAAAAGTAAAATTAAGTTCTTAAAACTTTGGAACATGATTTTAGTGGAGCACGAACCAACCAATACCACATAGGCATTGTATTTCGTCAACATCTGATATTTTTATCTTATCCATATCATAAAATTCTGTTATAATTTTTATGGATGGTTGGTTAATTATGATGAAAAGTGAAGGAAAAAAAAGTAATAGTAAAAAATAATAATAATAATAATAAAATTTAGCATGCATTTAGTTAGTAAAAAAAATTTCATAAAAATTGTGAAAAAATACTAGTTTGTTAGTGTTTACACCCTTATTTTCCACTTTTCAGTAGAAGAACACTCTGGTCGATTTTAATGGAAAGGTACTACCACATTCCAATGGAAAGTCTTGGGACACATGACAGTCAAGGAAGTAAGCGGTTACAAGTGGTTACATGTAAAGTCATGGGACACATGACAGCCTAGAAAGTGAGTGGTTACAATTGGTTATATGCAAAGTTATGGAACACATGGCAACCTAGAAAGTGAGCGGTTACAAGCGGTTACATGCAAAGTCATGGGGCACATGGCAGCCTAGAAAGTGAGCGGTTACATGCAAAGTCATGGGACACATGGCAGCCTAGAAAGTGAGCGGTTACAAGCGGTTACATGCAAAGTCATGGGACACATGGCAGCCTAGAAAGTGAGCGGTTACATGCAAAGTCATGGGACACATGGCAGCCTAGGAAACTGGTCGATTCTAATAGAAAGTTACTACGACATTCCAGTGGAAAGTCTTGGGACACATGGCAGCCAAGGAAACAAGCGATTACATGCAAAGTCATGGGACATATGGTAGCCTAGGAAGTGAGTGGTTACAAGTGGTTGCATGTAAAGTCATGGGACACATCCTAGGAAGTGAGTGGTTACATGCAAAGTCATGAGACACATGGCAGTCTAAGAAGCTGGTCGGTCCAATGGAAAGGTACTACAACGTTCCAATGGAAAGTCTTGGGACACATGGCAGCCAAGGAAGTAAGCGGTTACAAGCAGTTACATGCAAAGTCATGGGACACATGAAAGCTTAGGAAGCAAGCAATTACATGCAAGCTACCATTACTAAATTTTATAAATAGGGCATGATATTGTAACTTAGAAAGTCTGTTCATCGCCAAACAAATTACGCATTTCAATACAATTTTACTTTTCATTACAATGCACTTTCAATATGATTAGTTTCAGTCCTGCACTTTACTTTTCATTAGATAATTTTGCAGTCTTTCCAATTACTTTCTTAGTTCTTCCTAGCCAGTTAACTATCCCGAAGTCCTTTATCAAAGGCAAAAAGAACCCTGAGGTGTTCATTCCAGACCTCATCACAATCGCCTGGTCCCGTAGTCTTCCTTCTGGAATATTGTTTGGATCTCTCTTTGGAACTATTGCAGTTCCTGGCTCGCCCACCCAGTTCCATCAGAATCGACACCAGCTCTTTTCAGGCCAAACTGTTAGTATGACTAATAAACTATTCTTATGTCTATTGAGAGCTAAAAATAAATAAATTTAAAATCGTTCAATGGATGATGAAATAAATAAATAATAAAATAAGGCAACTAATTTTTGAGGGCTTGATTGGACATAGCTAGAGAGTAGATAGTATAGAGTCAACTAGAAATCATTTTTTTTTTATCACCTCCCAACTTGATATTATTTTTTTATTTTTTTCATTATTAATCACTATTTATGTCTATCCATGTCTTATGGATAATATTAAAAAATATACCAACTATCTTATATTATTGAAAAAGAAAAATAAAATTATTTAGTAAAACAACTTACAAAGAAGGAGAGAGTTACACAAAAAATAAATACAAACAAGTTGTTAGATAAAATAGGAAATCAAATAAAAATGAGTTCCTTTCACGCGAAAATAATATTTTCGCATGTTTTGTGTGTGAAAAAAGCTTTGGGAAAAAAAAAGTCAATTGCGCGAAATCAAATTTTCCATAACGTTTCTTTTTCCTTCTATCCAAACTCCAAAAAAGTTTTGAAATTTTCTTTTTTTTCATTCTTTTCTAGTTAATTCCATTTAACCAAACAAAACCTATGTGAACAATAATAGTACTTCAAAGTACCCTTCTCTCAGTGACAAATAAATTAAATTAACAAAATAATATTCTTCTATAATTTTTTTTTAAAAAAAACAAATGATGACGGTGGTGGATGATGGTGACGATTATGGTGGAGGTGGAGGCAGTAGTGTTGTAGGTGGTGGTGTTGGAAGAAGGCAGTGATGATGGTGGGAGAAACAAGTGGTGGAAGGCGATAGCGGTGGCAATGGCCATTGTAAGTGGCAGTGGTGTAGGTGGTGGTGAGTGAGAATGGTGTAATTGACGGTGGTCAAATGGAAGGTAGCGACAGTGGAGGTGGTAACGATGACAATAATGGTGGAAATGACAGTGGTTGAATGTAGTGGTGGTGATGATGGTCGTGGACTCGCGGTGTGGTGGTGGAGGTGGAAGGTGACGACAATGGTGGCGATGATAGTTAAAATGGTGGGGGTGGCGGTGGTGGAAGGCAGTATCGGTGGAAAGTGATGGCGGTGGTGAGGGAGGTTTTTAAACTTGGAATATAAGGGTTTTTTTTTGGGAACTTGACTTTTTTTAAATTAAAAAATTACTTGGGAATGGAATGGCCATTCCATAACGTTAGTTGTTGAATGGATTTTTATTTCAAGGGAATGATCATTCCCGCTTTAAATTTCACAACAAATAAAAGAATGATTAGAATGAGCATTCCATTTCATCCATTTATGTGTACAAAAGTGGATTAGATCGCCTAATAGAACTACTCTTATTTTTCCTAATTCCAATTTTTCTTTTATATTATCCTAGTGTCATATCTCTCTCTTGCTCTTTATGTTTTAGGGATAATTTAATAAATAAGAACTTACCTTTATGTTAATACAAATACGACCATGTACAAAAGGAATGGATGAATAATGACACTTTAACAAAATTTATTACAAATATGACAACTTTACACAACTAATTTTGTATTTGACAAAGATCTATACATTTGGGTCCAAATTACCCCTCACATTATGCAAAATGACTTCTAAATCATTCATAAGCTAGCAATCACCACTAACCACAACTCAAACCCACCCTACCCGAACTTCATCTGTATCCCCACTGTCAATCTCCTTTCTCTACACTCACTTTCTTTCTATATATAATCAAAATTAAATTTTGACGAGAAAGGGTATGTAATTAGGTTGGGTTTTTTAAGTCGATGAAGCAAACAAAGCAAAAATAGAGATAACCTCTAGGTGTTTGGGGTGTGTGCACTTCAATTACTCAGTTCATGTAAAGCGACCACGGGTTCATCATTATAATAGTCTTAGTGTCCAAATTGAATAGGAAAACATAACCAACTGAAGCTTCGAGTGAACAAAACCCATCTGCAACAACCAAGTCTGAGGGGAAACTGTGAACAAACAAGACCAAACTACAGCGTCCTGAACTAGCAAGAAGTAATGAGCAAACAATAATTGGCAAACAAACCAATGAAGAACTCCAGTGTTTAGTCCAATAGGCTTTGGCAACCATAAAAACCAGCAGAAACTTGGCATATGCTTTATCACTAATCGTAATGAAGACCCATTGAGACCTACACATAACCGAAACTGTAACGATCCGAACCCGAGGGTCCGAATCATTAGACGGGTCTTTATCCCTAACCCGAGGTCAACTAAGTCAACACTGTCCTTTCCTATGTCAATATCTGACACACGAGTCAATCCAAGGCCCAAGGTACTCTAAAGATACAACCTTACAAAGTGGTCAAGTGTGCAGGTCAAAAGGGAAGGGTAGCCGACTGATGGCCCTTGGTCAACCGGTTGACAGGGCAGGTTCGGTCGGTTGATGAAGATGATCAACCAACTATAACGATTACTAAAAATGCAACTTCTCAGGACTTTGCAAAAATAAACTATCGGCTGACTGGAGATGAGGTGTCGGCCGATTGATGAAGGAGTTTCGGTCGGCTGATGGTGAGATTCGGCCAGCCGAAACAAGGTTTTCTACCATTCAGCTCTCTAGAATGCCAAAATGTGCACTGTCAGCCAGCTGATAGTCATTGTCAGCCGGCCGATAGGCCCTGGGAAGCTACTACCTACAACCCAAAATAT